CCTTTCCTGAATTTTTTTAGCCACTTTTGTATCACTGTGAGCAACATAGCTGATAGAAAGAACTTAGGGCAGGAAAAATTTGCCTTGTTTCAGAGAGATTCCAGCCCGCTGTTGTGAGAAAGGAGTGTCAGAAGGGGGTGTCTCTGTCCTCGGTAGCACCAGTGTGAGGCTGTGGCAATTCTCATGGTGTAGGTCAGCCATCAAGTGGAGAAAGCAGACTAGAACCAGAAATAAAAAAAATTTCTAAAGGTCCCTCCTTGTGGTTTATTTCTGCCATTCAAGCCCTGTCCCCTCAAGCTCCCAGCCTCTAAAGTAATGCCAATCTGTAGACCAAGTGTACAAAACGTGAATCTAGGGTGGACAGTTTAAGATGCAAACTGTGATACCCTGAACTGCAACAAAAACATCAGCATCACCATGTTCTGCACAACAGAGGCCAAAGCATCCCTTCCAGCTACAATCACTAAGGTATCTCCAGCAGTTTCAGGGTGAGGCTGCAAGTTTGTTGTTTAAAATGGTGTCAGCTAAAACCACTCACTAGCTCAGAGATGACCTAGAATTTCACTAGGAAGAAAAGTCTACTTGACTCTGTAGGAAGGAGAGGAGAGGAGAAACAGATGTGGGTATGCAAAATTAATTCAGAACACACTGGCTGGGAAATAGTTTTCATTATTTCACTATCTTCCTACAGATATACAATAGACATGCAATTGTTTCAATTTTGGCATCAAACAAACAGTATGGCATAGTCAAAATAAATTCAAAATAATTCTTAAAAGCTAATAAAGATTTATTAAGCCATAATACAAAATATTTGCTAAAGGAAATTGAAATTATGGTTATTGTGTTTAGTGATAAGTGTTAGTATTCAGGCATCTCTACTGGCCGTCCTTGGGGTTCTGGCAGGATATGCCCTCAGCTGCAGTCACTAAGCGCACCACCTATGCATATTCACTATGTTGCCTTTTAAAAGGGCCCTGCCCACTTCCTATCTTCTCTCTCTTTCCCTCACTCTCTCTCCATCTCTTCTCTCCTGCCCCTCCTGTGCCTGAAGGCTGGTCTCTCCCTTTCCCTTTCCCTCTTTTATGATCCCTTTCCCTAATTAAAAAAAAAAAACCCTCTGCTTGAACCCTGCTGCATGATGTCTTCCTCTTGAGCTGCTTTTCTTAAGTTACAACAATAAGAGGTTTAAAAACAGAACCTTAGCTACAGGTAGGAATGGGTCTTACCAGAAACAAGTCACTGTTAACTGTGAACACGTGTTCAGTGTTTCTGAATATATGTTTAATGCTAAATGTAATTTTTTAAAATTTCACATTGAGTTTGCCACTTCTGGGATGGGCTAATGAAATGTACAGTTTTCACACATGTTGACCTTGATAATTTGCTTTGTAAATGTGTTGCTTGACTGTATGTTTCAGCAATGGAATAAAGAACATATATTAGTCATTGGATAACTAGAACACTTCCAGTTACAGGGTTGGAAACCCAGTGGAAGAATATCCTAGAAGAGGGAGAGAAAGAAAGGGAAGGAGGAGAAATAAGAAGGAGGGATATAGGGAGAGACACACAGAGAGAAATGCACAGAGAAGGTTACTGGGAGCTTTTGTGGTCTTCTCTTAACACAGGTTTATTTATATAGGCTTAATTTTCAATAAAAAGGAAAAGACCTCTTTCCAGGCATAGTGTCTAAACATTTCGGATGGACTGACTTGTTAAAAGGGGTTTTGTTTTATAACACCATGGTAGCCTGGCTATACCACACACACTAAAGCCATATGGCTAAAATTGGAGCAGTGAGATTTCACCTTGGGCTTACCACATCTGGAGTTGGGGACAGTGTTTTCAAAGTAGAGTGGAAGGTGACCCGAGGTGCCTATACCTGGAAGTTATAGATGCAGGTGATAATGAATTCAGTGAACTGCCTACTATGTATGTAGATGAAATGCAGAGCCAGAGAATAAGACACCAGAACAAAAAAGTGAGTCTTTTCATCTTCCTTTAAGCCTTTGTTCCTCTATATTCACATAATCACAGGGTTAAGATTTCCCAAAAGTTTAAAAAAAATCAAGGTTTGGGAAAATTCTTTCCAAATTGTTCTTTACAAACTTCTGAACAAAGACCTGCATTAACTATAAAAGCTTATGATATCATTCCAGTTGATGTTGTTAAAGAGATCTTGGCAAAGAGAACTTAAACTTGCCTTCTCCTTGTTCTTCATTGTTGTTGATCTTTTAAGAAGTTTCTTTTTATGCTTTGAGATTTCTTTAACATAGAAAACTGGAAAAAAATCATTGGACCCAACAGTTGCATGTTGCAGCTATGTCTAGGTATATTCATCGGTAGTTAGGAACTCACACGACTGAAGAGTTTACAGACAGATACAGAGATAGAGAGAACTATGCGAAGAGATCGGAGTCATGGGTTCAGTATGACAAGTACCAGGATGAAGAAAATGAGGCATTCACATCTAGGATCATTTCAGTCATTGGCCCACGTAATATAGAAAAGTTAAACTCTGAGATTATAAGCAGGCAGGCAGTGGGCCAGTTTCGTATAAATTTCAATGCCACAAAGTCTGTGCTCTTGGAGCATATCCATTTTGGGAGGTACATGGGTCACAAAGGATCTGGAAGAAACTTCCAGTACTAAGACAGTGAAGCTCAATTCAAGATGGCTTTGCCTCTGGAGAACATCTGGGAATGTCTGGAGTTATTGCTACAACAAGAGGCTATTGGTATCCACTGGGTAGATGTCATAACAGATACATACCTCATGTAGCACAAATCCTTCACAATAAAGCATGATTCAGTCCACAGTGTCAATAATAAGACGGTTTGGAAATGTGTGGTGAAATCTAGAACACACACACACACACACACACACACACACACACACACACACACACACACAGGGGGGAGAGGGAGAGGGCGAGAGAGATCTTTTCAGTTTTGTGGGTGTGATAAAATGCCACAGCCAAAGCAACTTTGGGGAAGAAAGGGTTCTTTAGCTTACAATTTGAGTCTGCAGTCCATCATTGAGGGGTAGTCTAAGCAGGAACTTAAGCATCTTGTCACACTCACAGTCACAATAAGAGAAATGAAGTCATCTGTGCCACCTTCTCAATTCTTCACCTAGCTTTTCTCCTGCCATTCTTCAACAATTCACGGCCCAGCCTATGAAACGATGCCACCCTCAGTGCCCTGGATCTTCCTACATCGGATCCTACCGTCCAGACTATTCCTCTACAGATATGCCAGTGGGCCAACCTGATCTAGACAATTCCTTGATTGAGGCCCTACTCTCAGGTTTCTAAGCTGTGGCAAGTTGATGCTTAAAACAAAACAAACCATCACAGTATCCAATCTACAGCAAGAAATGAACCAGGGAGGTGTGTATTAATGGAGAGAGCCCATGCAAAGATTGGTGTGACAATTTCCACCATAATATCTTGCATTTCAATGGGATATAATCAGACCTCCTTCTGTGACAACTGAATTTCAACAAGGCTATTCCAAGTTAGAAAGCCGGGGAGAGATAATCTAGATCCAGAGGAAAAAAAAATCAACATCTTCAATGCCAGAGTAGCAACCAAATATGCAATCTGAATATGGCTAAGAGTAAGAGAAATTTTGGATGTCTAGTGGCTCTAAAAGAATTAACCCTTCAGGATCAACAAGCATCCAACCACATAGATTTTAGTTCTTCACATTATTTGTCAGGGACAGGAACCAGGACTCTGAGAGACATGGCTCCTTCTGGAGCTGGAACCGGAAATATAAAATGGAAAGCCATAGATTCTTCCCACCCTGGAAACTAAAAAAAAAAAAAAAAAAAGGGCTAAACAAATAGGCAAAACAAATTTTGCATTGTTGGAATATACCAATGCCAGAGGAAAACGGGCTAGCTAAAGGAGTCCGAAATAACAAAAACTGCAACAGTTGGAGCAATAAATCAAGTGGTACTGAATTATATACCAAAGTATAAAAGAGATCTCAATGGATCTACACATGTATAGATGAGTCATTGAAGAAATCACTAAGTCATAACAAAGAAACCTCAATTCCATGAAGAATGGTTTCAAATTATTTATGCAAATATTGCACTTTTGGGGAGTGGGAACATTCATAACCCTTAAATATGAGCTGCAAATATTGGCTTCTTTCTAAAATAGTCAGGGTTGAAAAAAAGTTAGGTTTTTTACTACAAAAGCGTGACATAATGTCTGAGCCAGGTGATGGAGAGTGTATCCACAGTCATAAATTGTGTGCAGAGTATGTACCTTGGGCCTGATATTATCGACATTTTATCTTTGTGATCTACCTTTCTAGAGCTCGCACTGCCAGTGGATTTATTAGAAAAAAAATCACATTCCAAAAGATGAACATCCTATCAAATACTCCACCAGCATTCAGAATTGTTAAGGCCATCAAAAACAAGGAAAAGTTTGAGAAACTGTCATAACTCAGAGACGTCTGAGGCAATCTGATGAGTAAATGCATTGTGGGAACATGGATTGGAATCTGAAACAGAAAGTGCCCATTAGGGTTGACACAGGGAAATAACAACTTTAGTTAATAATAATGTGTCTACCATATTAATGTAAAAGGTAGGACATATGGGGATTCTGCTATTTTTTTTTCTGTTAAAAAATCTACAACAGCATAGCCAGCCATTGGTGGCGTACACCTTTAATCTCAGCGCTTGGGAGGCAGAGGCAGATGGACCTCCATGAGTTCAAGGACAGCCTGATCTATAGAGTGAGTTCCAGGACAACCTCCAAAGCAATACAGAGAAACCCTGTCTCAAAAGACCCCACCAAAAACTACAACAGCTGTAAAACAAAGTCTAATAATCAAACATAACACACTGAAGGGAAGGTTAGGGTCTGACGTACACTAGAAAGTGAATGTCCTTTCTTTCTCGTTAGCATTTTGCAAACTGAATAAAATATAGATTTGGCTTTCAGTAATATGCTAGCGCTGTGATCTCCCATTCAGTTCATTTCCTTTAGTTAATGAAAGACATAAGAAGAGTCTCATCATCAGTTAAAGGGTTATAGAAATCACAGCATCAATTGCAACCAGAGCTTTCAAGTCAACTGCCTTCTGACGGGGCAGTGTTCTCTCCTCTCTATGGAGCCTGAGCTGTGATTTAGCCATGTCCAAGTGCTGCCTGGCAGGCTCCAGTGACAAAAGCAGTTACTCATTGCTGCTCAGCTATAGACTGAATATGGGCATGGGACAACACTAAAAGCTGTTACACAGCAAGAAAAGAAATAAGACTTCTAAATGGTAGCTGCTACTAAGACAATTTAATGTTGTTCAATCTCTCATTTTTATAGTGCTGTGTATTGAATCTACATCCTCACACATGCCAGGTGAGTGCTTTAACACTTAGCTATACATCAACATCTATGAAATGTTGAAAGAAACAACGAAAAGTACTTCTTTATCTTGTCATGGGGTTCGCAGAAGCTAGAATTGTCCAGGAAAGTCTCAGAAGTGTCCCCCCTTTGTAGTATTAATGAATAAAAACTAGAGTCTTACATGGGATGGGCCTAGGCCCTATCCCAAAGGATATGACAGACTCTGAAGACCCCCTTCGGAAGGCCTCACCCTCGCTGGGGAGCAGAAAGGGTATGGGATAGGTAGGGGGTTAGTTGGAGGGGGGCAGGGGAGGAGGGGAGGGAGAGGAATTGGAATTGACATGTAAGACAATCTTGTTTCTAATTTTAAAAAATCCAAAAAAAAAGAATTAGAGTCTTTATGAAAACCTGAAAATGTCTGAGCTATACAATGTGAGATATTTAAGTGGGAGCTGCATTGCACACGTTTAACCTGGAATGTAGCCAAGCTATAGTTTTCACAGCTATTGGCTGGGCAGAAGCTGCCTGTGAAGTTAGGAAGGTGATGCTGGGGCTGGATTCTTTGATGCTATAATGTACTTCAGATACATTGATGCTCTTGTTAGTAAGCAATGTACATAGCTTGTGAACAGAAGGAAGATTCTTCAGAAGTGTTATTAGCCTTTAAACCTAGCAATATTTCACATTAATCATCCATTTAAAACTTCGTTATTTTTATTTTTGAAAGATTGGTTATAGTTTTATGGACTTCCAGAAGTTAATTATTGATTTCCAAAAGAAGTATAGTTAATGGAAAGGAAATGTGGTTTTTCCTTTCATCATTAATCAAACTCTTGGGATTTCTTTTGGTGGTTCAAGTTCATGTCTTTTCTTGTGTTAAAAATGGGTCCCATTTTTCAAGACCCTTGCTGTGGATCATACCATTTATTCCTAAATAATTCCCAGAGAGAAACCTTTGCCTCACTGTATCACAGATGTGGTCATGGAGGGTATCAATGCTTAGGGGAAGGGGCAAAACTAATCCCTGAGTCCAGGCTTTCTGCACCAAAATGAGACCATGTACTTAACTTCTGACTACTGCTGCTAAGCTTGAGTTGTTTATGATTGTGAAGAATGGGTCATGATGCAGTACCTATTCAAAACTCTGTTATGGTTTCCCATTTCTACTGAAGGTAAGACTCAGGAATGATTTGCTCTGAGAACTCTTGGGTGCCCACACCAGCTCAGAGAGCAAATTAAGATGGTCTTTGGTACATTTTTATTGCATGTGGTACTTTTCACTTCATAACACTTACCACGAATCCAATTATCATCTCTTTGTTTCATATCATTTTACCCTAAAGTTTATAAGCTTGTTCAGGACAGGGACTATGTAGTTCATTGTTGTCTCCTTGGCACCTAGAACTGTCCCTAGGTATATTAAATCATGGAGAATATTCAAAAAATGAATAAATAGGAAGAGGAAATTATTCAAACAGACAATAGGCTATTGAAATAGTACTGTAGTACACTATTCAAGGTCTATTTGAGTGACTGCCATTTGCTAAAATAATTTGTTACTTTGATAATTTAGTGACCCTAAAAGAACCATAGACAGTTATTCTAAATGGAAATTTAGTTTTAAGTTTATGTCATGATAGCAAAGCATAGCTGAATCAAACTTTAATGGGAATTTTATTGCATATATGTTGAAGAGAAAGAATAGAAGGAAAAGTTAAAAAAAAGTAAACTCAGGTGCTCATTATCCAGCTTCAGCGTTCATTAATAGAGGGCCATGGCTTTTCATTAATAGAGGGCCATGGCTTTTCTTGCTTCAATATTTACATCCGTTCCCACATTTAGTTTATTCGGAAGCACTACTTAGACACTGTCATCTCATTGTATCTCAGCGTAAAACTCTTAAAATAAAATAACATCACAGAATTGTCACAGAAGAATGGTAATATTTCTCCCTTCATATCAAATATTTTGCTAGTGTTCTCATCTATCCAGTTTATTTAACTTGCATTCTAAGAGCCTAGCATTTCCTTTAAATTCCGGGATACCCTTTTATTTTCTTGAAGAAATACAATTATCAGTTCTGGAGATATTCCCATGGTCTGGAACTTATTTACTCACCATATGGTTCACTTGTTATATTTCTCTCTCTCTCACTTCTGTTAACTGCTAATGAGATAGAGCAGAACCTTTTTTCTATTTAGCAAATGTGAGTGAGGAAAGGTAGGATGCAGAGATAGGGAGAGATAGGGACCTGTATGGAGAGTCTCCTAGTATGCCAGTTACCAAGACAACACTATTATTTGCATAGAAGCAAGGAAAGGCTGAGGGGAAAACACTCAAAATGCCAAGATAACTTAGCAGTGCAAATGATAATATTCCTTCCTTTATATCAGATATCTTGCTAGTATACTCGCATTAGAAGACCAGAATGCCAAGTGTGGGAGCCTGACCTCGCCTCACCCTCTGTGGTGGGTTGAATAAGAAGTGTCCTCTCTAGACTCACATGTTTGAACCCTTGGCTCTTGGTTGGTGGCATTATTTATCGAGGCTGTGGAACTATCCAGAGCTAGATCCTGCTAGAGGAAGTCTGTCACTGTGAGTGGGCTTTGACACTTTATAACCTTGCCCAACTTGAAGTCCACTCTCTGCTCCCTGCTTCATGTTTTTGGTTGAGATCATGATCTCTCGAGGCCCTGCTCGAGCCACCTGCTGTGCCTTCTCCACCGTTACGGACTCCCCGTCTTGAACTCAAAGAAACTTTCTTCTAAATTGACTTGGTCATGGTATTTTATCACAGTAGCAAAAAAGTAACTAAGACACTCCTGTTGTTTTATGACACACTGCCTTTGTTACAGCATAAGTGCACAAGAAAACATTGTTTGCCACTGCCACTCAAGTATGAAATGGACAAACATCTGGTTTCTTCTAAGTAGGAAAAAGGAAATGAGAACATCTTCTTGAAAAAAATTAATGCCATAATATTATAAAGAAGTGTTTTGAAGCTAACATTCTTTTCTCTACATACATTTTGTCCTTCACTCTTGGGGGTGGTGGATGTAAGGGTGGAAAACACAGCATTATAACCCAGTGTTAGAAAATCTATCTCACTTTGTAAGAAGCAGAGTGAAGCTGATGGTAATGAAAGAAATAACCAGTCTTACTGTGGAAGTGGTCTGCAAAAATTCATCTTTGCTATTAAAAATATGACCTTATTTCAGAGTGGGATCTTCATAGTGTAATAATAAAGATAAAGCCATACAGAGGCATGGTGGGCCCTAGTACCAACGATTAAAATAAATATAGAAGGAGACAAAATATAGACACAGAGAAGACCGCCAGGTGATGATGCAGACAGACACTGGAATGACACCGTGATTATCCAAGGAACACTAGGATTGCCAGCAGCCACCAGAAGATAGCAGAGAGCCCTGCAACACAGCTGATATCTCAGGTTTCAACTTCAGCCTCTAAATATTTGGCAGGTCATATTTATATTACCCTCAACCATCTAGTTAATGGCATCTTAGTCTTAGTCTTAAGGGATCATTATAGTTGTATTGATCTGCATAATTGAGACAACTCATTAAGCATTGCCTGGGTAGTAGTAGGCTTTTACATCCTATCCATAAAGCCAGATCCACTTGGTCCCCTTGTTCACCTTACAGTAGCTATAGAAATAGAAGATTAGCTACAATTATCTCACTGTGATCAGTTATCCTGTGGGAAATAGCAACATCATGGATTCACGTGGTATTAGAAGGTGATTCTACTATGGTTGATAATCATCCAAGTGGAGGTAAAAAGTGACATTAAAGGTAAGAGATTTCCCGTCCACAATGTGTGTCTGTAATTACATAATTCAAGGAAAAGCAGTTCCTCACTACACGGTTACCCTTTTGGCAAACACAGTGCAAAGCAACTTGCTGAAACAAGACTATTATTGAGAATCAAATCATTCTCGCTACAGAAATTGTTGACCTTGTAATAAGTAACCCAAAGCATGTTTCACATTTGTATTCCATTAGAAGAAATACTTCTTTTACTATATATTGTACTTACCCATTTCTTGTAGCATTTCAGTGACTTGAAAACCAAACAAAACAATCCTTGTCAAAATCCATATAGGTCTTGGAGGAGACCCTACAACCAACCGCCACTTTACTAAACCAGCACAGTCCTTAACTGTATTTTAAATATGTATCCTTATACCAACAGATAAATAGTTCTTATTCCTCTCCAAGGAAACTTCTCTTGGTAACAGAGACCATTACAGAAAACCACAACCAATCAAAATGCAGATTTGTTGAACCCAGACCTCACTGACATCTCTATAACACAACTTCTGAACCAAAGGCTTCTGGATCATTGCAGAAGAAGAGTCAGGAAGATTATTAGAGCCAGAGGAACAACGACTTTGCTGTGAGATTGTATCTCCTAGAAATGTTAAAAGCTGCACACATGAAATCTCAGACTTGAATAAAGATGATAGAGGTGTTACCATGGAATGGGGGAAAGCCAGCAAGCATCATTCCCAGACAAAGAACTACAGGCATCTAAAGAATTCTGAGAGCCAGGGGAATAGTCTTCCCCTGGGAAGAACACACCTACTGGTTATCCAATGCCAAATGGCCAGCCCTGAAAACATACATACAAGTAACATTATATGGACTGAGCAGGTTGTATTTATATGTTTTAGGTGTGTGGTGTGTGTGTGTGTGTGTGTGTGTGTGTGTGTGCGTGTGTGTTAAAAACAAAGGAAAACCCATGAATGTCAAAGAGGTCAAGGGCAGTGATAGGAGGGTTTGGGAAAAGGAAAGGGAGGAGAAATGATAGAAATGTATTATAATATCAAAAATATCTTAAAAAGTCAACATTTCTGAAGTAATAACTCAGTGGCTAAGAACATGTACTGCTCTTCCAGAAGACCTGAGTTTGGATACCCACACCCATGTAATGCTGGCCACAACGTCCAGTAATTCAAACTTCAGGGATCCAACACCTTTCTCTGGACTCTACTGGTACTTACAAGAAATGCACAACCTCCATCTTCTGCCAGTGATGAATGAAATAAATCTTGAAGAAACCCACATACTCTAGTACCAGACACTGATAGTGATGGTGGAGGGAGAAGATATTGTAAAGAAAGGAGTTGCTAACTTCCAGCAAATATATACTGCTAAGAAGCACTTTGCTTTGGTTGTTCTCTGGCTGAAGGGAAGACTAAGGGTAATTATGAGTACCACAAAGAACATCTGATCATCTTTTACACTGGCAGCTTTGACATAACTTCCAGTGCTTTCTCTGGTAGCTGCTGAATCAGAGTGAGCAATAGAACGATGTAGAAAATACAGGAGTAAATCCATCTGACCAAGAAGCTCACTGAAGAACACGATATAATCAACATGAATATTTCTTCCCCTGAAGGCTATGGAGCAGAAGGAGTTGTTTACTGAGAGAAGGCAGAGGAAAATAATTGGTTTCAAGAAAATTTTGAAAAAGATTTTGTGTTCCAGTGGCTCTGAGTATTGTGTGTGTACACATACTTTGTCTCAGTGGCTGGCATTTCCCATTTTTCAAACGCAGTATATGGTGAGTGTTTTACTCACTCTGGTTCTGTAATGCCATGGACCTACTAGTCCAATAACATGGTTCTGGCTTATTGTGAACAGCTTTACCAGTGGTGGTTAAGGAATGAAACTTCTACTTTAACCCATCATTATTTAAAGCTGAACTAAGCAGAGACATCTCTCTGTCAAAAATCAATCCTGAGCAACGAACAGCAAGTTCTATTCAACCACACTTCCTCATTCACTCATTCACTAACATGTGTAAGTAACATAGGTCAGAGATTCACAAACCTGTCTACAAATTACAATTACTTATTAGATCATCAAACCATGAGGTTACAGTGCTTAGACTTACTGCCGTGGAGATTTTGATTTGATTTTTCTTGCTTGAGTTGATCTCTGTGTTGCCAGTAGGTAGTCAGGTTTAAGCAATATTGTTGTGGGTATTGGATACAATGGCTAAACAGGAAGAAGATGGTCTTTCATACAGCATGCTCAAACTCTGGTAAAAAAGAAAGGGTATTATTAGATGAGTAACATGAATTAGTTCAGTGGAGAGGAAGGAAAGAGAGGGGGGAAGGAACTTGTTTGAAGTGTGGTTTTGCAGGACCTCCTTGTGGGAGGTAAGAACTGAATAGAAACTGGAATGAATTTACAGTGCTCCCTAAGGGAGGAGGAGAGAAGAAACACCACCCATGTTAATCATCTGATTTCATTATCTTTACAAAGTCCCAGGGCTCACCATCACAAAGTCCCAGGGCTCACCAGTTATTGCAGTAGTCATATTTCAGTGTATATTGAGTACCCACCTTTCGTCAGATACTGTGGTAGGCGTTGGAGGATGAAGATACATCAGCCAGGACAAAATCTTAATACAGTAATCATTTCTGAGAACCCGTGCTCTAGAAAGGAATGTGTTTCTGTGCAGTAAGAACAGAAAGAAGCTTTGGACCCTGCACATCTCAGGGTTCTTGGTCATGTTCAACAGAATGCCTTCTTGTCCTGCTTTCTACCTGACACTCCTTTTCACCTTAACATTGACTTTTGCCTGTCATAAGGAGGTGGCTTTTAGAGTTGACCTACATTAGATAATTGCACTGATCTTTGGGCTGACTTGATTCAGTGCATAAATGAGCAGGGACTATGTTTATTTTTACTATGAATACCATTAGGTTCTCTGACACAGATGTGAGTTTAAGGTAGTTAGTGGGTTGAAATTAAGAGAGAGACCACTGAATAGAGCATAATCATGATGGTAAATTGTAAGTATTATAATGAAACACACCCACACGTGTGGGAAAATGGATGAAGAAGTGGATTGTAGCTGACAGTAAACCTTGGTGATATCATCTGGGTTTTTTTTTTTTTTTTTTGAGGCCAGTAGTGCCTTTATTCATGTTTATTGCACAAGAAGGTGCAATAGAGATGGACTGGCTTTGGATGAACTCATTCCTAAGGAAATGGATTAAGTCAATAATTTATTTTTAAGATCATCTTGAGAGACATTTAAAGGGTTCAAAAAATCGACAAGTATGCTCATTCTGATTTTCCTTCTAGATGGTCTTTTGTTTTGCTTTGCTTCTTCCTCACTGCAGAATCAATTCTGGGTGATTTTTTTTAAGGGTTCATTAACACTCCAAGGTAACATTCTGTGTTTGGCTTTTACAGAAACTATGAATAACACTTACAGAGAAATTTGTCCCGATGAAAACAGGAGTTAGATAATAATAGTAATTTCACAACACTTCCTCCCCATGGAAGTTGAAAAATCTTGCGAAATACAAACAAGAATATTGAGAATTCCCAGTAGGAAGGTGGCAAAAATCACAGCTGCCATTTAGAGAGGGAGTTTTCCCCGAGAACCTCGTTGGAGAAGGAAAACAAGCTGATGTGATGGTTTTTCAGCTAATCTAAAAACACCCTGGAGGAAAGGCTCTTCTTGTGCTGTGCCAGATTTTCTACTGAGTACTTTGCCCACATTGTTATTTCTTATAATAATGCCAAGCCTTCAAAGACATTGCCATTAGTATTCAGCACATGGCTAGATGATGAAGGTCCAGGTTGGATCTTAACTGCATGGTCCTAAAGCCCTTCTTCCTTGGAGATTCTGTAGCCAATGGTTGATCTATCCTTCTATTAACTGCCTGTCCCCTACCATACTGACTGTAAGATTGACAAGTGGGATAATAGTGGTGGGGACCCCTCTTCCTACACGGATGGGTCCTAGGAACATCACATTTCTCCCCCACCCCTGCACCTAGGAAAATTTAAGCTATGAAGTTGAGATCCCCAAATGCAAATGTATTAAATCAAATCATTGTGTATGCCTACATAGTATTTAAAAATCTTCCTTAAAGGACAACAATACCTTTAAAAACAAAAAAAAAACACATTATATAGTCATTGATGATTTTTTTCATTTTGAGAGCTAAATCATATGATGTCCTCACAGCTTATTTATTTATTTTAGAAAGAAAATCTTTCATCTTGTCCAGATTATTTCTCAAGTTAGAACTATACATTTCATTTTCTCAAAAAAAGAGCACATTTCTTTCTCATACACCATGTGCCTAGTTCATTTTCAGCAGCTCATGTGTGGGTCATTCACATGAGTTGTCTGTCACAGAAACAACAGTTTTTGTCCAGCTCATCACAAAAGCCTCAGCTTTATACTTGATGTATTACGACAGTTTCCTTCTTTCTAAAGGTGATTAAAAGTAAGGTAACAGCCGTGCAGATAACGGATGGTTTGAGGACAGGTATTTTCTAGAAATGTTCCATCAAGGAGTAAACCAGGCAGATAATATGCTTGTCAAATTTGTAAAGCTAATGGCTCCTGTTAGAGCAGGTTTCAGGCTTAATTCTAGTGATGGGCACTGGGGTGGGCTGGGGATGCTGTCAAGCTTTACCTCTTTAGTTTGTTATCAAACTAAGAATTTGCTTCAAACATGAGCAATTCTGCAAAATAAAGGCTCGACTTAAATAAGCAATTGACCTTTTCAGAAGAAGGAATAGCATTTAACCTATTACCTAATAAACATTTCTCAAGCACCTCTTGTACACTGAGGTAAATGCATCAGTTTTCCTGACTTTGACTATTACTTGGGTCCACTCTAGTTGATAAAATTTTACATTGTCAAGGAGAAACCCAAAATTCACCCTGCACATTTTTTTTTTTGTGGTTAACTTCCATGTCCTATAGTCTCACCTTTTCTAGACCTATCTTGGAGGATTTGTTTCAGATTTATCCTCCTCTAGAAAGATCTTGAGCCTAACACAATGTGGCAGGCACACTCTACAGCAATTTCTCTCATACTGTTCTGCCCCACAGAATCCTCAAAGAACAGCGTTTGAAACATCCGTTTCCACGTGGTGCTCAAAGTAGCCCGTGGCAGATTGTAGACTGATGAAACACCCCTTTGTGGCCTTGAGGGTGATGCTCACATGTGAACCCTGGCAGAGCTGCTAACTGAAGGAGGCTGGTTCATCAATAACACCACATAACAACTATCCCAGATCTGGAACATCTTTCTGATTTCTCTATACGGTAAGGATAATACCCTTAAACAGCCAGATTGGATTTTTTGGTATTCATTGCTCATTGAATTGATAAACTTTTCAATTACACCCTTTTCAGACCTTGTTGTATTCAAAGCTGGGTTCTCGTTAAATCCAGGAGGTTAGCGAAGGCCTGAAGAGTATGCAATCTTCCATTCTCCTCACTGGCCTCTCATCCCCTCCTCACACTTTGCTTCTGACCTTCCTTCTTTAAACTTCAATTCTACTATTAGCACAGAGAGCTGCCTAGATGCAATCAGTTTCTTAGGACTTCTTTCCTGAAATCATATATACTAAAAGATGTCCATAGTTACATATGACATTATCTTTCATAGAGTCTTATATAGTCCTCCAAAAAGTATGCTTGCCATCTGCATGGCTTGATTGTTGATGCTGTCTCATTTTGGAAAGATAAATCTCTAATTCCTTATTTAGTATAAGGTATTAAATTTTAAAGAGACAAATGTGTATTTGTAAAATGCATTGCATTCACAGCTTATGAAACTGCCTGTTGTTTTCTCTTGAGATGATAAACTAGGATTCATTGGCTAATTTTTTTCCAAATAATAACAGCTCTTGAATAAATATTTCAAGGACCTTAGATCTAGCTTCTAATTTCATCCTATTAGAAACTTGAGAAGTTAAACTGCTGAATTAAAAGTGGAAACAAAGCCATTTGTCTTAGTTTCTATAGTAGACTATTATGAGAATCAAATAAGATAGTAATATATTGGAATAATATAGTATAGTCAATAAGTACCAAATATAATGCTCTTAACTGGCACTACAGTTGGAATATGAATGTCACCATTGTTCTAAATTAGGTCCATTTACTAATGATGAACATAGAATTGATGTTCTCCTATATTTCCATTTTTGAAAAGCACATCCATGGGGGAAATGAAAGGTGAAAGCCAAACACCCCACCACTTTTTTTCTTTAACTCCATTTCCAGCTCCATTTTTTGAGAGACTAAACACTAATTCCCTTCTGTAATGCAGTGTGAGGCAGATGGATCAGGAGGAAGCCATCAGTGTACTTACTCCTTTCCTGGCTATCATTAAGCTGCCCCACAGCCTCCTTTTTCTGAACTCTCTAGCTTCAGGAAATTTTGCCAGAGGAGAGAATAAAATGTACTGAGTGTGTATTCGGTCGTTTTCATGCTGTGATAATATTACCCAGGAACAGTGACTCAGGGAAAGAAGGGGTTCTTGTGGTCCAGTCCATCAGGGTGAGACAGGAACACTAGGCAATAGATCACATGGCATGGGTGATCAGGAAGTAGAGAGAGTTTAGTCCTGGGGCTCAGTTCACTTTCTTCTTTGTATTCCGCCCTGGAGCCCATGGGACAGGGCGGGTGACTCCTACAGTGGATCTTCCCATTTCATCTAATCTAATATACATATGTGTTCAGTCACGCTCAGAGTTTGGTCTCCTCTGTGAAGCCAGCTACTGCCAAGTTCACAATATCAGCCATCACTATGAGGGGAGGTGTCCAACAAAATGACAGTTGGAAAGACCAAACTCTAAGGAAAGAGAAGCAACAATAGCCATTCAAATGTGGTGTAGCTTGCAGCAGCTACATCAGAAGCCAAAAGAAAGACCTTTTCCACGCACCCCGCCCTAAATTTTCAGTGTCTTCATGATTCATTCTGAAAAGAGATGTCGGGGAGGGAGCAATCCTGGAGGTAGTGGCACAACCTCCCCCCCATGTTGAGCAGTGTCTCTTTATGTAGCCCAAGACAGCTTGTGGCCTCAGCATCCCAAGTACTTAGATTATAGGCTTGAGCCATCATGCCTGGCTTTGCTCATCAGACTATGATGGCTAATTTTCAGTACCAGCCTGACTGGCTTAAGAGATACATAGATAGCTTGTAAAACATTTCTGGTTCTTTGTGTCTGTGAGGGCGTTTCTAGAAGATATTAGCATTTAAATAGGCAGGCCCAGTAAAGCAGATCTACTTTCATCCCAGTGTGGGTGGGCATAATGCCACCCAGGGAAGGCACAGCCATTATAGAGGCTGCACATTTGGAATTACTTTGTTAGCATCCCTTGTTTTCAGGTCTTCAGACTAGGACTTTATTATATATAACACTATCTCCCCTGTTCTCCAGCATGTAATGAGAGCTCCTGGGAGGGACCTCTCTGCTCCTGCAATTGTGTGGGCCATTTCCCATAATAAACTATTTTATAAATCTTTGCATATTTTTTAGTGATTTAATTTCTCTGAACCACCCTAACTGTAAACTCTGAAAAAATTGAAAGACTAAAATCTCATAGGCTGTACAAGTGTGAGGAATGCAGTTTGAAGCCCCAGCACTGATATCAATGCTGGCTGGGTGTAGCAGCCTGGTTGTCATTCAAGCACTCAGAAGGCAGACAAGAGTCATCCTGAAGAAGCTGACTAGCCTTATGGGACACCTCTGGATTCAACCCAGAGACCCTTCATCAATTAATGAAGTGGAGAGCCATTGAGGAAGACTTACAGATGTGAAGCTCTGTCCTTAACATGTGTCCTAGTATTTATTGTTAACATGACATAACCTAGAGTCACCCAGGAAAAGGGAACCTTGATTGAATGGCTCCAATCTGATTAGCCTTTGACCATGTCTGTGAGAGATAGTCTTGACTGGTAATGGTTTCAGGAGAGCTTAGCCCACCGTGGGTAGTACAGTCCCTAGGCAGGTGAGCCTGGGCTGTATAGGAATGATGACTGAGCACAAGCTAGTGAGTAACCTAGTGTTCCTCCACAGCTTCTGTTCCAGTTCCTGTTTTGACTTCCTTCGGTGATGGACTGTGACCTGGATGTATAAGTTAAAACAAACCCCTCTTCCCCTAAGTTGCTTTTGGTCATGGTGATTATCACAGCAACAGGAAGCAAACTAGAGCAACATATGTGGACGTGCACATGTGCCCACACACTCCTAAGCATGCATATATACAATGTGCATGTCACACATACACATACATGGAATAAAAAAGAAAAAAATACGCACCTCTCACAACTTAGCCTAATATGTACATGGACTTAGGTGCATCTTTTAGAATAGATGCATTTTTACTCCAAAACTCTTAAATCTGAAGAATAGGTTTTTCTTTTTCCTTTGGCTGTTTATCTAAAGTCTTCATGACTTCTGCCTACAAAATCTGACTTTGTGAAATAATGTACTTTACAAAATTGGAAAATCTAAAAGAAATGGACAATGACCAGTGATTGTTAATTCATGGTATTTTTTTGTTGTTATTGTTGTTTTGTTGTTGTTGTTGGTAGTGTGTGTACATTTCCCTTTGGGATTTGCTGGTGTGAGATTATCTATTGCCTGTGTTTTCCTTCTGGCCTGAAATGACTCTTTTCTATGATATGAACAATTCCATCTGGGGTTGTATGTAGATAAAAAAATTTTCTGTGGATTGGCCATGATTACTTTTGTGTTAAATGTATCTGGACTCTTCCTGAGAATATGGTGTGTTATGATCTCAAGCTATGTTTTAAAGGAGAATATAATTTTTTAGATCATCTCCATCAAATAATTATATCTTCCCCTCCTTGGATTACACTTATAAAACACATCTTCTCTCTTAAATATGAATAAAGATTTCTCAGCTTCAAATTAATACATGTCAATTGAATAAGCCAGTTTTTGTGAAAATCATCTTCATTCACTTAAAACTCTAAAATATTGCAATTTAAATATGCTTTGGGAACTATAAGAAGGCCTCTATGACAAGCATATTTTGAAAGATGTGGATTTTAACATATCACAACAGTTTACCAAGATCTTCTTCCAAACTCCATAGAACACAACTGCTCTCTCAACTGGTTTTGGACTCTTAGATATTTGCTTTTCCAACATATACCTGTTTTTTTCTTTTTAAATACCCGCAAGTTCATTACCCATGAGATGATTTTGATACATCTTCAAAATATTTTTTATTTTAATATCAAGGTGTCTTAGCATTTGATAATAACTGAATCAATTGCTCTTAGTAGATTTACAATCCTACTTTGACCACCAGTGAGATTGGATAGCACTAGCCTCATTTCTGTTATTATTATTGCAGGTTGAAGAGTGTGTTTTCCTATAAGTCACTCTAGCCTCTACATTGTTTTCAGTTCTTACTTCTCCCAGGCTATGGCTATGAATGAAAATAAGCGATAAAAAGGACTAAATCATTATTTAGGAAGGGGGCATTGAATGAGACTATTCCCAGATAAACTAAAATTTTGGTTGTGAGTTTATAATTCCTCCAACATGACTGAGTTGTATTTATGTTCTTGGTTTCTGTTTTATTTTCTTTTAGTGTTATTTGAGACTGTGTCTCACTCTGTAGCTCAGCCTGGCCTGGAAGCTATGTCCCTCCTCCCACCTCATCCTTACAAGCTGATGTTACAAGCATGAGCTACTATGCTCAGTATATATTTGTTTATTAGAGCTAGATCTCAATAGCCACTTTTTCATAAACATCCACACAAATTAAATAACTTATGACATTTTATTTTCATACAAATTCTTCTTATTTAACTAAGCCTAAGTGTTTTCTCCCTGGAAAGATTCTGGAATATGAATATGATTAAGATCTGCCACATATTTTGAGGTTCATTGCTTTACTGTGAGAAATACCTAATGGTTGACTACAATATACAACAGTAATTGTTATAAGATAGAATAAAGTGGGAGACATTAATAATCACAGCTGTAAAATCAAATGTGTTATCATTAGTTACTTTTCTTGTTGCTGTGTTAAAGACTTAAGAAAAGCAGTTTCAGGAAAGATTTATCTGTGCTGACAGTTTGAGGGTATATCCAGTCATGACAGGGAATGCATGGCAGCAGTAGAATGAGATGGTTATTCAAGGTGAATGTAACTAGCAAGCAAAAAGAAGAACTCTGCTTTCTCTTGTCTTAGTTCTCTGTCTCTCTGGGAACCTCGCATGAGGAGTGATACTGCCTACATTCAGAGTGGGTCTTCCCCTACCAGTTAAAGTT